TTTGAGACACAGAGATACAGAGAGAGAGAGAGAGAAAGCATGAGCAGGGAGAGAGGCAGAGGGAGAGGGAGAAGCAGGCTCCCCGCTGAGCCAGGAGCCCGATGTGGGGCTCGATCCCAGGACCCTGGGATCATGACCCGAGCTGAAGGCAGACGTTCAACCATCTGAGCCACCTAGGCGCCCCGACAAGTGGTAGTTTCTTAAAGGTTAATTGCAGATCAGCTGGCTGGCTCAGTCGGTAGAGCATATGACTCTTGTTCTTGGGATCATGAGTTCAAGCCCCATGTTGGGAGTAGAGGTTACTTTAAAAAAAAAAAAAAGAAAGGCTAACTGCAACAAGTAATCTAAAACCATATCCACATGCATAAATCTTTTGGTTTATCTCACATTTTGCAATAGATCTTTTACATATGCATGATTTTGTCATATCAGGCTTTGGTCATTTAGAAAATATTTGTTCACTGAGTTATGCAGCTTTTCCAAATGTTGACACATTTCATAAAATATAAGAGAATCACATTCACTAATATCGCCACCCTCTCATCAAAACATTTTTTAAGTATTGGGAAACTGTCAAGCTCACAGTGGCAGATATAAATGTCCTAAAATTCTAATTTTCTCATGAAAGCTCAAGCTTTATCACTGGCAATAAATACATGGTTATTTTCTTTCGTTCATTTTCGAGAAAATGTCTGCCAAGTACTCGAGTCTGAAGAATCATAGTTTGTCAGCCAGTCGTTCTTAAAAGATGGTGTCCCATTAAAAAAAAAAAGGTGACCAGTGCGGCTCGTGACCCAAATGATTATGCCAAGGCTTTTCCTCAAGACAACCACTGTGTTCTGTGCAAACTTCCCAACTCCCCATTCATGGTATGAAAAAGACATATGGGGGCGCCTGGGTGGCTCAGATGGTTAAGCGTCTGCCTTCAACTCAGGTCATGATCCCAGGGTCCTGGGATCGAGCCCCACATCGGGCTCCCTGCTCAGCGAGGAGCCTGCTTCTCCCTCTCCCTCTGCTTCTCTCCCTGCTCATGCTTTCCCTCTCTCTCTCTGTATCTCTGTGTCTCAAATGAATAAATAAAATCTTTAAAAAAAAAAAAAAGACATACGTACTCAAGGGTCCAGATTTAATGAAATCTATACTTTTACTGCTTTTAATAAAGTACATTCTTAAGTGAGACTGGATTTTTTTTTTTTCCCTTGCAAGCGTGTGGTTGTGAATAATACAGCGACTCTGGCATCGTTTGGTGCCATTGTCTTGATTCGTGCTAAGACGCCCACAGTCTTACCCATCATTGCTTTTGCACCATTAGCAAAAGTGGACAATGATGCCAGGTGTTATGATGAAAGAAGTTTTGACCTCAGAGGCTCCCTGAAGGGGGTCTTGGGAAACCCCGGGGCTCTCCAGACCGCACTTTGGAGAACCAGTCTCCAACAGGGAGAAAGACTTACGCCTGCATAGGAAGGAACCTCACGATTGTAATGTTGAGGGAAAGAGGCCAGGCACAAAAGAGTATGTACGATATGATTCTGTACATATATAGGAAATAAAGCTTCCAAAACCCTAGAGAACTTGGTCCATGGCTTTAGACGTCAGGATGACCACTACCCTTTGCAGTGGTAGGTGCTGCTGGAAGAGAGCATGACGGGGCTTCTGGAGCGCCGGTCAAGCCCTTTTTCTTGTTTTGGATGCCATGTATAGAAGTGTGTTCACTCTGTGAAAATTCATCAAGCTCATGATGTGTGCACTTTCCGGTATGTATATCATCCTCGAATTAAGAGGTGTTTCTAACACGGTTTCCAGCAGTCCCAAGCGTAAAAAGCTCCCCCCAGCCGAAAACCACCACATCACCAACAAAGAACCCCTGAAAGACGTCCCTAAATGAAAACAAAACAAAACTGGCTCCGGCAGTAATCATGGCCAAATATGTGCAAAATAATGTGTTCATGCAGACATCTTTCACTCCTTAGGCAGCACTTCCTACGGGCCAAAGGGGCAGGAGAGAAATGCCCTCTGGAGAGGAAGGACTCTTCTGGACCCTATCTGGAATGTTCACATAATGCTAGGCAGGGACATCTTCTTAACATTAGCATTGGAGCTTTAGTAAGAAAAAATTCAGGACATTGGAGTATGTCAGCTGCTTTTGTGCACCTTTTCCGAAGGTCCTTCAAGAAAGAGACAAGCTGAAGCTAAAAATGACTCACGCGAGAGCAGACAGGGTGCAGTTCTGGGAAAAGAGGGTTTCTTGCTGGGGGCCTGCTTTCCAAAAAGGGCCAGAGTGCCAAACCAAGGAGAGGAGCAGAGTTGAAGCACCGAATGTACCCCAAGTTCAGGGTAAAGTGTATGGACAGAGGAAGGCAAAAGTGAGCCTGGGGGAAGGTTGACTGCCAGGCTCTTCAAAAGCACCTCCTTTTGTGCACCCTCTACCACAGGGGAGCAGCTCACTTGCGGTGAGGGATAGCTGAGGTTCGTGGGGGCAAGCATCTCAACGCAGAAAGCCCCGGCTGAAACTCGTGGCCTTGCCCTCCAGAATGGATGCTCTGATGTACCCCGTCTGTCGAGTTTCCCAGATCAGCACATCCATCCTCTCCCTGGTCGCATGACGCCCTCAGAGTCTCTCCAAGGAAATGGCCAGTGAGTGACCCCAGCCCCAGGAAGCCCTGAATACCTGACTGACACCTCTGGATGACTGTCCTCTTCGGATCTCAGCCCACTAATGACTCAAGATCTTGTCAGCTCTTTGATTATTTTAGGAAGCTGTTTTATTTATGTGACATCCACATTGTTTATGTTGTCGACAATGGAAGGCTTGCCTCAATGACTTCACTGTTACTAAGTGGACACAGCCGTCCTCCAAGTGGATTTTTTAAAACGGAGTCTGCACGCTTCCACTGGCTCCCAACCCTTCCATGGTGCTCCGTCTGCCCCCCAGAAGATTCGGATTCCTCAGCCTGGCACCCAAAGTCTTCGGAGATTTGGTTCCAGCCTTTCTCTTCCCTTGCCTCCCACCTCCCGCCTCCTTGTCCGCTCCCTGCTTTACTTTGCCAGCCCCTAGATCCTCTTCTCCCTGTGTTCTTTCTCACCATCAGGACTTTGCTTCTGAGCATCCTTCACATTCTTTCACCCTTCCCTCCCCCAGCCCAAACTCTTCCCCCAATAAATGGCTGCTCATCCTTCCAGAATCTCCCTCGCCCTCTGTAGATGGAGCCTTCCTCTTTACCCCATCCCCCAGGAATGACTGATCACCCCTTTCTCTGTGTCTCTACAGTTCCCTGCTACATTACATATTGATGCAATCTTTTTTTAGTATATGCATCACGATCTTTATTAACAAAGCTTTTCCCATGGGAGTACTTCTCATCGTTTCTTTACTTGATTAGTACTGCTGGTTGCCTATATTGCTGTGCTGGGTCTACCATCACAAGTACACAGACTGGGCAACCTAGACAACAGAAACATATTTTCTCACAGTTTGGGAAGCTGGGAAGGCCAAGATCAAGGTGTTGGCAGATTTGGTTTCTTCCGAGGCCTCTGTCCTTGGCATGAGATGGCCACCTTCCCTTTGCATCTTCTCTTCACACGGTCTCCCCTCTGTATGTGTCTGTGTCCTGATCTCTTCAGTCATAGTGGATTATAGCCCACTCTAATGACCTCATTTTCACTTAACTACCTCTCTAAAGACCCTATCTCCAAATACAGTCACCTTCTGAAGTCCTAGAAATTAGGACATCAACATATGAATATTCGGGGGACACAGCTCAGCCCATAACATCACCCTACTAAGAATTTGACACTAAGCTTATTATCAGAGATGATGTACTTTCTTCTTACCTTTTGAAGTCTAACACAGAACGTCTGTCACCTGTATTAAATTCAAGCCAGAGCATGAAGGAAATCATTTCAGCACTTCTCAGGGGCCTCGCTGGCTCTCAAGGTGAATAGGGCAATGATGATAACTCTGCAGAGTTTCTCATGCGCAGGTAGAGCACTGGGAAACACAGATGTACAATTGTTCTCTGGAATAGGCAGTTTGGTGTCCTGGGGGGGGCAAGCCCCTCACACGGGCATCTTCCTGTCAAGGTACTTTGAGTGCCAGCAAGAAGGCTTTTGTCTTTCAAAGTTCTGTACCCACTTCCTCTTCTGCATACCAATGGCCAATGAGCAGGAAGAGTCCCAGGATCACTGTCAGGATGCCAATCTCCATGGCCTTTCTTTGATGAGATGGTCCCTCCATCTGGTGGTATGTTGTAAAGATTGCTTCTTTGGTTCTCAATCCTTTTCTTCCCCCTGGTCTTGAGTCCCATGATAGTCACGGGTTTGGATTTCCAGTGGGTGGTCTCTGATGGCTGGATATCAGGGCAATACTGAGGCTAACGTCCCCTGGTGACATCAGCTAATTAGGGGCTTGAGTGTGGCCTGGCATTCTTTCAAGGTGGTGACTGAAAGATAGCTGGCATCGTCTGCCCTGGAGGAGGATACGGGACCAGACCTCACGTACTGGGATCACTTTGATGGATCCGGGGACATGCTCTGCAGCTTTTTTGCTTTTTGGAGCTCAACCAGCAAGTCCTGATCAGATCTTACTTGGGAATCTCTTTGAGACTTTGAGGGTTTACCACTTCTCTATGGATGCTATTTTTGTCAAATTTATTCAACAAATATTTATTGAGTGGCTTCAATGCCCTGGGCACTGAGTACTAGAGAAGAGTGGGGAGCAGAGAAGAAAGAAAGGAAAAAAAAAAAAAAGAACCCAGCCCAGCACCTGTCCTCATTCAGTGTGCTACAACAGAGGAGAGAGCATCAATCAAACAATAACTAATCACTAATCCATACATAATAGCAAATGGTAAATGAGTTATAAAGGAATGTTCCAAAGGGAAAACTGATCTGTCAGGGAAGGTTTCCATGAGAAAAATAGCATTTGATCAAATAACTGAATGATGAACAGGCAAGGTGTAGACACTAAATACACATTTGTAGAGTCTGAATCTTCCTCTAGAAGCTTCCTTTGAAAACGTGGATGTGCAAAGAGATAGAAAAAGAAGCAAGAGCAATGGGGCGTGGGGTGGGGGTTGCAGTAGATAACCTCTGGAAATTAGCAAGCCTTCTGGGTTTCAGATCAGAATCAGACATTAACAGTCTGAGTGACCTTGGGCATGTCACTGGCCCTCTGTTTCCCCCCTATGTATAATACTTTGAGATTAGACTGGCTCCCCGTTTTCCAAAGCAGATTACATATACCACTGGTGCCGGGCAAAATCATTTTAACTGATACATGTTTGCATGTTAATAGATATTTATTTTAATATGAATACAAGCAATATAAGTACAACATAAAACCCCTGATTTCAAAAAACATCACTGCTCAGGAGAAGGGTAAAGTAAATAGTGCTAGGACTTCCACTTCCTAAGTTGGTGAGTCATCTTCCCACAGCAAACAACTGAAAAACGCCCCTAAAAAGCATATATATATACGTGTATATACATGTATATATACATGAAACAGCAGTTTTCAGACATTGGGCAGCGTGCAGCACAGGACTGGGTGCCCAAGAGTAGGATAACAAATGAGCTGAGCCCTATAACCACCCCAGCCTCTGCCTGGAAGCAATTTCCGGACCTGAGAGGCATGAGGAGGAGACATCTAATCAGAATCCAAGAGCCTTATTGAGTGCAGGAGATAGAGATCAGAACTCAGACTCAGGCAGCTAGAAATCATAAGGCATGATTTTAGAAAGGGCATGATTTTAGAAAGGGCAGAATCGTGGAGTTCATATTATATGTGGAAGTAAAAGCACAAAAGATGGAGGGAGAGATGGTAGTATATTCTTGTAAGGGTCTCAGATTAAACATAAAATGGTATAACGTTTGAAGAGGGGTAGTGATAAGGTCATCATGCATGTTATGAGCCTTAGTGAAATCATTAAATAGTAATATAAGGTAGAATAGCTAATAAGCCAACAGTAGGGAGAAAATGGAAATCTCAAAATTGTTCAATTAAATCCAAAAGAAGGCAGGAAAAAAGAATCAGAGGGTCAAATAGAGAACAAACACAAGACAATCTAGATAGATTTAGACCCAATCACGTCAAGAATTATATTAAATTAAAGCGGTCTGAGCACTTCAATTAAGTGACAGAGATTGTGAGATTGGATAAAAGTGCAAGACCTAACTATATGCTGTCAATAAACCTATAGTTCTAGTTGGAGGTTTCAAGACTTGACTCTCACTAACTTCAAGAACAAGGGGATGGAAAATCAGTAAGGATGTAGATTTTAACATTGATCTAGTTGACATGCACAGAAGACTCCACTGAAGAGCAGCAGGATACACATTCTTTCCACATGTACATGGAAATTGCACCAAAATTTCCCCAGCCATGTGACGAGTCTTAATGAATTTTTAAAAGTTGGACAGCATACAGAGTATGTTCTCTAGCCACAAAAAAAGTAAATTAGAAATCAATGAGAGGGGCGCCTGGGTGGCTCAGTTGGTTAAGCATCTGACTCTCGATCTCAGCTCAGGCCTTGATCTCAGGGTCCTGAGTTCAAGCCCCGTGTTGGGCTCCACGCTAGGCAGAAAGCCTGCTTAAAAAAAAAAAAAATCAATTAGAGAAAGATATCTAGAAAACTCCCCAACTAATAGAAAAATTTTAAACACAATCCTAAATAACCCATGAGTCAACAAAGAAATCACAAGGGAAATAAGAAAATGTTTAAATTGAATGGAAATTTAAAACAATATATATCAAAACTAAAAATTCCTTTTTTTTTAAGTAGGCTCCAAGCCCAGTGTGGAGCCCAAATGGGGGTTCAAACTCACAACCCCGAGTTCAAAACCTGAGCTGAGATCAAGTTTGACGCTTAACCACTGAGCCACCCAAGAGCCCCAAAACTAAAAACTTCTGCTCTTTTTTTTTTTTTAAGATGTTATTTACTTATCTGAGAGAGAGAGAGAGGGCATGAGTCGGGGGAGGGGGCTAGGCAGAGGGACAAACAGACTCCCCATTGAGCAGGGTGCCCAATGCGACGTGGGGCTCGATCCCAGGACCCCGAGATCATGACCTGAGCTGAAGGCAGATGCTTAAACAAACTGAGCCACCCAGACGCCCCTAAAAACTTCTGCTCTTCATAAGACACTATTAAAAAAACAAAAAGGTGGTTCTGCCCCACCCCCGCCAGCGCCTCCTCCTGTTACCCTCCAGGTACCCAGAATCCAGGCACCCCCACACACTCTGTTGCTATGGTGGTCCCTGGGAGCCAGGACAAGAAAGTCAAGTTGAGCAATAACACGCAGAATGGGGGGGATGCCGAGAGCCACTAATGTCACCTATCAGGCTCACCATGTCAGCAGGAACAAGAGAGGCCAGGTGGTGGGGGCCAGAGGTGGTTTTCATGTTTACACAGTTTGGCCAACAGGAGCTTTCCTTTTATTGTCTGGATGCCTGAAGAATTGTTTCTTTTCCTATGTGTTCTACAAGTTTTGCCTTTCTCATTTAGGCCCTTTATCCATCTGCAGTTGATTTTTGTGTGTATGTGAGGGAGGGATCTGTTTTCTTTCCTTTTTTTCCATATGGATAATCAGTTGTCTCAAGAGCATATATTGATGAGGGCATCCTTTTCCTGCAATGCCATCTGTCCTGTGTTAGGTTTCCACTTATGCGTGGATTTGTTTCTGGGCTCTCTTGACTATTCCACTGGTCCATTCCTCTATTATTGCCACACTGTCTTACTGTGTATTTATAAATCTTGAAATCCAGTGGAGTAAGTCCTCTTACCTTATTCTTCATCAGAAGTGTCTTGACCGGGGCACCTGGGTGGCTCAGTCGTTAAGCGTCTGCCTTCGGCTCAGGTCATGATCCCGGGGTCCTGGGATCGAGCCCCACATCGGGCTCCCTGCTCGGCAGGAAGCCTGCTTCTCCCTCTCTCACTCCCCCTGCTTGTGTTCCCTCTCTCGCTGTGCCTCTCTCTGTCAAATAAATAAATAAATTCTTTAAAAAAAAAAAAAAAAAGAAGTGTCTTTACCTTCTTTTTTTGCTCTTTGCATTATTGTATAAATTTTGTAATCGGTTTAACCAACTCCTCCAAAATCCTGTAGGGATTTAGTTTGGGATTACACTGTATTTAAAGGTGAATTTTGGGGAAAATTGATCTTTAGAATATTGGGTAATCCTTTTCTTGAACATAGTATGTTCCATTTATTATACCACTAATGATGCTTATAAATACTGTTTATCAGAGTTTTTGGTGCTTGCTTTATGATCTAACATATAATTAATTTTCATAAATATATATTTGAAAAGAACATCTCTGTGTGCAATATTCTATATATGTTCATTAGGTCAAGCTTGTTAATTGTGTTGCCAAAAAAAGAAAATGAAAAAGCAAGAGAGTGAGAGAAAATATACACAATACTAAGGACTCATATCCAAAATATAAAAAGAACTCTTACAACTCAATTATAAGAAGACAAACAACTCAATTTAAAT